GCTTCCTTCTGCCCCCCCGCTCTAGGGGCCGGACTGTCATAAGGAACAGCCTCTTCCCCAACGCTGCTCGTCAGCACTGACGCGGGCGCCCAGGGGCCTGAGAGGGGCTCCCCTCAGACAGGTATTTTCCTCCTGTCAGCACATAGCCACTGCAACGGCCTGTAATGCTATAAATAGAAGGGAGAGGTCGACGTCGTCGGGAAGGTCATTTCCAGTCAATAACGAATGCAAGGATGGAGCACGGCCGTTTACCAGTAAGACACAGTGATTTACTCAGAGGCCGACCCCAAACGTCAGCAGTTCTCTCGCTTCGGCCAGAGGAGAGCAGGCAGAGGGCCCTGTTTAACGGCAGCAGGAGCACGCCTGGGCCGGGATTTCAGAGGTGCTTGAAGGCCAGAGGTGTCGATGACTCCGGCACGCAGTGGCTTCTCCCGGAGATCTCAGCTCAAACGTCTTCCGAGTGTTACTGCTGGCTCCTGTGATGCCGTTGAGGCTGGGGAGGGGGGGAGCATCCATGCGGGGACGCCTGCCGAGACAGTTCAGGCCATGGGTGTATCTGTGAGCTTCTACAGTCAACAAACCCGGACACAAACTAATCTCACCGAGATAATCAGATATTGGCAATTCCCACAGCTACCTCTATCATTTCTCAACTAACGAGTCTGTTGTTTTCCCTGCTGCATTCAGAGCCACATCTGTGCTGAATATTTTGAAGACCGCAGCACGACTCCAAATAGAGCAGGCTATTTCTGGAGCTACTGGAAATGAGTCAAAAAAACAACTGCAAACAGAATGTCAATGTTTCACAAAGAACCACGCTTAGTATTTCTCCTCAACGTATGCGGCAACAACAGCTGTATTCTGCCCAAGCAATGTTTCATTGTTTACAGCGAATTGGCATGAAACACGAGTGAACAAACACCTTTAAAGTATTAAGTACAACCTTGGTAAAAAAAGGACAGGAAAAATGCATCTATTAAAAAACTGCTCCAATTATTAAAAGTGTCACCAATTAAAAGAAAAATATATTTACCTACAATCGAACAGATTCTTCTCTCCTTGTAGAGTTTACCCAGAAAGGAAACAATTACTTTCATGGCTAACATCATGGATTTTCCTTGACCAAGTAGTAGCAAGAGTTAATTAAACCCACGCCGGTAATGAAGTGTAAACTCATCAGATTCACTTTTATAATTAAGATACAGGTAGAGGCATTCATTTCCAATATAGGTCCTTTTAATCAGAAAATACGTAAGGCAAAGCAGTAATGTTGAATTAGACATGGCAAGCTGATCAACTTTACAGACTGCATCCTCAGGCAAAGGATATTTTATTACTGCTGTTATAAAGCGTTAACCCCTTTTTGATGAGAGGCATGAGGAACTCTTTCCGATTTAGTGATTTGATCCCTGATTTTATCCATGCACACCTCATTGCAAGACTGGGGCCATAATTCCATAGAAGAGTATTCATACACCCGGAGTAGGAGAAAAGACACTGGTTCATGGAAGCTCTGGAGCTTCTCAGCATGTTAATGTACTTACAAAAATGGGACATGGATCAAGGAAGTTTTACTTCTAATACAGCAGAGTATCATTTATACCCTTCTTCCTGCAGCCCTCAGCTTTCCTGAAAAATCTTGCACACACTACTACCTCTCTCGCCTGTTCTTGCTGATGTCATTGGCAAAACTCCTTATTTAAGGAGGTGCACTTGAGATCCAAAAACCGCCGGATCAGTCAAAGGTTTAAAGAAGATGGGAGGAACCAGCTGTATCAACCCAGCACCAGCAAGCTGTCCTAACGTGACCTAGGGACAACAAGCTTTACGCATGCCAGCATTCCTACAGGGTAAACACCACTGATAATAAGCAGACCTGGATGCTTGCAAAACCATGCTAGCGGAGGGAAATCTCCCCAAAGGAATCCTGTCGTGCTGGTAAAGGAAGTGTACTTTTGTCGCCAGAAATCGTGTTGATGCTCAGGCTTCTGCTGACACGGCAGCCTTTGTCGGAGCTCACTGCCCCTGCACACCCCAGCTGCCACAGCTCTTCCTACAGATTATACTGCTTCAAGGAGCTGCTCTAGCTCTACCAACGTAAGGCCAGCTATCTTGGTGTAACTATTTATGCCAGACTTTCATCCCCTATAGACGTAGCTATACATAACAAAAGTGTTAAGATCAAGCATAAATGTCCCGTACGTGAAGAGGAGCACTTCACAATCAGAGCTCAGCCATCTCGGGCAGACAAAGAGTTGCTTGGGAGGGCACTGGAGCAAACACGAGCTGGAGCAGCTTAAAAGAGCTGCTTTAAGATCCATAGAAGATGAGTTTCTACAAGCCTAGCTTTTGCAGTATTAATACGTTATCACCTCCATTCCTCTGCCAGAGCCTTATCTCGGAGCAGAGTCAGCACAAGAGAGCACGTCCTTGGGCCTCAAGTGCTGCTGTTCACAGCCCAGAGCCATACCTCAAACTTCCTTTCATTAGCTTGTTAATGCATATGGGGGTTTGTTTCCCACATCTCAGCAGCAGATGCTTCCTCTGCCCTCAGAGAGGGATCCATCTAAACTGACTTCCCCAAGACAGCAAATTAGGCCAGTCTCCAACCACGACACAAAGCAGCTCTAAGGCACGGATCTCAAAGGTTATTCAAGCCCTCCTTTGAACCACCTCATCATGCTTCCTGGCTAGAAAAAGGACTAGAACCATAATGCTTGTTTTTCTGTTCTTCCTCAATTTGACAATAATTTTACCATACGAATGACTTGGCCAAGACTCAGCAAACACAGGACAAGAAGC